CACACACACACACACACACACACACACACACACACACACACACACACACACACACACACACACACACACACACACACACACACACACACACACACACACACACACACACACACACACACACACACACACACACACACACACACACACACACACACACACACACACACACACACACACACACACACACACACACACACACACACACACACACACACACACACACACACACACACACACACACACACACACACACACACACACACACACACACACACACACACACACACACACACACACACACACACACACACACACACACACACACACACACACACACACACACACACACACACACACACACACACACACACACACACACACACACACACACTAATGTTTTGACATCTTGAAAGACATATCGGAGGAGAAAAAGAGGGAGAATATAGATTATTCTTTTTATTATTGTTTCACATTATAAAGTGTTATTTATATGTGTTACACAATAGCTTGCTAAACAAGTCATCCATACACAAGATAACTAACTAACAACTAATATTTAACAAACTACTAACTAACTAGTTATGAATTAAAACTCAAGAATATTACATTTTAATTTCTAAAAATATTTGAAACTTTTATGTTTAAAAATTGAAACTTTATGTAAGATCAAATAGAAGTTTTAGATTTTGTAGTTATTAAATTATGTCAAAAAAATTTATTTTATGAATATTTTTATTTTTAGTTTATACAAATCAAACTATTTGAATAAATAATTTGACCAATAAATTAACATGATTGGATCTATTTTCATATTTTAAAACATTGATTATAATTGTACTAAATATTAAACACAATTACCAACATGTGTTTTCACGAGTGATTTTAGATTTAAAATAATAATCCTTTTTGAGACTTTGAATGATGTGTGAAAGTTAAAATAATAGTTACCAACATGTATTTTCACGAATTATTTGATTATTATTTTTTATTATAAATATTACAAGTATTATTTGAAGAAATCATCGCCCTAGCTTTTTGTTTAGTTTAATATTTCTTCATTGTTATATTAGAAGAGGAGTTAGTTTTGTAAGTTAGAAGTTAGTTGAATTATTTAGGACTTTCTCTACCAACATTTAAGTATCGACTCACTTAATAGGTCTCACGTTAGAGATTAGATATTTTCCTTCAACCAATTTCTAACTAGTTTATCTATTGTATAAATATTTTTGTAATCTTCAAGCTTTGAATCCAAATAACAAAGATGAATAAGAGGTTCATATCGGCTTAGTCTTAGCATTACAATTATTGACAATTGATTCATAATTAATTTTTTTAAATTAAAATTAAATAATACTATTTAATTTATTTTAGATAAAAGAGTTAATATCATTTTTATCCCTTGTCATATAGGAGATTTTTGTTTTGCTCTCGGAAAAAAAAATTGATTCAACTTTATCATTTGAAGATTATGTTCTTTTAGAATTTTAAGTAATTTGATTCACCCAATGTGTCTATGTGATGTGCTAAGTGGCAAATTATTTGTGTTTTTTTATTTTTCTTAAAATCCACTTGGACTAACTAATGCCATATCGTTTATTATTTAGTTATTGTATTATTTATTTGGAACTTTAAAAAAGACTAAAGACATATTTAAAAAATGTTTGTTTTCTCCCTCACCCGAACATCTTTATACGAAAAAATCGTAAAATTGGAACTTGTTCCAATCTTTCTAGTTCATCATTTGTCCAAATTTTTTTATCCTTTCATATAATAAAGTTTGTCATGGTTCACCCGTATAGTGAATGTAGGATTTTGAAATAGGAGGTAGCACAAATTCATCAATAGAGAATTCAAATAAAAGGGATTATAATGGGGTTCTAATCAAATCATGAAGACGTGAGTTGCAAAACAGATAGAAAAAGTACTAGTGATACTTATCATTTGTTTGAAAATTATTTAGCTTTTTGACACAATAAGAAGTAACTTATTTAAGTGGGTAATTATCCTAACTCATACCCGTATCCATTTTTGTGGGTTTTTACTCTATCCATTGTGGGTAATTTTGTGAGTATCCACTGGAGATGAGTGAAATTGTCGTTCCTATTAAAGTTTATCATTTTCTATTACTTTATTCTAACCACTTTAATCTCTCCTCCTTCATTAGTAATATCTCTCTCTCTCTCTCTCTCTTATTTAGGGTAGTTGAGCACCTTTTAAGATGATTATTATCTCTTGGCAGTTTTTCCTTAATAGATTCTCATTTAGAGAGAATTTACTGAAGAGAAACATGATTGTTGACCATGTTCTTATTACCGGTCCTTTTTGTGGTGATTTGGTCGGGTAAGCTTCTCAATTGTTTACTACTTGTGACTTAGTCAATATTGTTTTATATAAGATTTTTAGTTAGTTGGGGTGACAAATAGTTTCTCCTAAGAATTTTAATCTTTTCTTTGAGAGTTTTCTTTCTTTAAGAGTTTTCTATTATTTGACATGTTGTGGTCCAGACCATTTGAAAGATCTAAAATGATATTGTGTTTTCAGGCTCTTCGACAAACGTGTAAGAAATGAAGAAGAAAAATAAATTTTTAAATTGGAAATAGTTTTTGGATAGATCATTGTAGAACTCTTACACCTTCTTAAATTGACTTTACAATCCTATCTTTTAAATTAGCTAATAGAGAACAATTTTGATCGGATTTAAAATTTGTGGTCTTTAATCCGACAATTATAGTTCAATTGACTTAAACTCTAACTTGGTCTTTCTACTTATAGCTTTTTCTTTATATATGAGTAGATGCTTGACAAAAAAAAATACACTAAAAACCAATGTTTTAAAAATCGGACCGGCCGGTCGGACTGAGAATCGGGACACTAGCCGGCCTGGTTTATTTGACGGATCGGCTTCGCCATTGAACCGGTGTGAACCGGTATAAATCGAGAAAATCGAAAAAACCGGTGGTTTAATTGTTTTTTTTTTTCACTTTTATTTTTAAAAAACTTTTTTTTAATATATTTATTAGTGTATTACTTAAATAGCATTCTCACATAAATTTTTTTCGTTAATGACAAATTACAGATTTTATTGGCTATTTGTTATTTTTGTTAATACATTTTTCTAAATAGTTTGTAACTTTGTGGTTAGTAACAAATTAATTACCTTATTATTTTAACTTTTTAGATTGTTATATATTTTATCTTTTTATATTTTATCACTGCTAATAATTTTAATTAATTATAATTTATAATTAATTATATTTAGTGTTAAAATATTAACAATAGAAAAAGACATGTATTTTGTTGAAAGAGAAAGTGAAATAGCATAAACATATTGAATTTTATTTGGTTTTCTTTTTAGGAGAATCATATTTTACTTACAAATAGTTACCTCTTATTTCATAATAATCAATAAATAATATTATTGATGGGGAAGTTGTTGCAATTAGACTTTGTTTGCAATTAGATTTTGTAATTTTATATTATTTTTTATGTGTGATACATTTTTTTAAAATTTGAATTTAAATTATGAACTTGTGAATTTATGATATGATATTTTTAAAAAATTTAAGTACTAGTTATATTTTTTTAGAAATTGAATTATCCAATTCGACTGGTTTTATATCTATGTAATGACATGTCTATTTAACTGAGTTATCCGGTTTAATCTGGTTTAGTCATGTGGTTCCACCAATAATCTAATGGTTCGACCGATAAACCAGTAATCCAATACTTTCACCGGTTCGATAACCGATCTGATTTTTAAAACACTACTAAAAACTACATTATAGAAACCAAGCAAAATAAAAAGGTGAAGAAAAAATTATAAGGTAGAAAACAAACCAGCTACAATAAGGTTTGTTTGGTTTTTATGACGTAGGCTTTAGTATTTTTTGCGCCAAACATCTACTCATATATAATGTTTGAATTTTTTTTTTAATCCAAATGAATTATGATACGAGTCTCATCCAATAAAAATCCATCCTATTTTTCAAAAAATAAAAGAAGTGCTTTCTAAACTTTAAATTCGTGCTTGTAAAAAAATGTTATAAACCGTTTACAAAGTAAAGCATTAACATTTTGTACAAAAATAAACAATAATACACTAGCATGTGTATTACATGATCAAGGATTACATGAAGTTTACTTTGATATTTGAACAAAAATGTGAAAAACTCAAATTCTTTTATACCAAATTTTAGATTAAGGAACCAATTATTTAAGTATATTAAATAAAACTCTACGAGTCCCCAACTTTTTTTGGAAATCCGAAATACTAATAATTAACTCTATGTTATTTTTTTTTTCATTGGTTAAAATTTGCCTTTTGAAAGTTCCAAGGAACATGTGGAGTTGTAACCTAGTTTGTCTCAAATGAAAATTTGACTGACTCTGTCATTTCCTTGACTTCTATAAATAATAATATAAACATCTCAAACACAAACCATTACACTTCTTTGGATCATTCATTTCACATTACTCTCTTTACACCTTTTCTCAATTCTATTTCCTTTTGCTGTTCTTCAAGGTTTGATTTTTTTGTTATTTGTTTATTTTGTTTCAAATCTTGTATATCAAGTTGTTATCTTTTTTTAATTTTATTTTATTTGTTGAAAGTGTTTTTCAATTGTATTCTATTGGATGTTTATTTTCACTGATTAATCATGTATCTATTAACAATATTGGCATAATTCTTGAATCATGATTATTTGTTTGATTCCTTTGATCTGTAAATGATAAGATCCAATTTTGATTAGATGATAAAAAAAATTCATTGACTTTTTGAGAGTGATAAAATTTAGTAGTTCAAACATCATCCTAGGTTCCACAATTATGTCTGGTTTGATATTTAAAACATTAATTCTGATGGTCGATGAAATGTTAAACTTGGATTACATATATATTAGTGGAAGGTTCTAACTCGATGGATTATGTTAGTCTTGTTGATTCATCACGAAAAGTTTGTTTTTATTTTTGTTTTTTTTCTTTGTGTTATGTATTTAAAGATGAGTGAAGAGAATAGTGAAGAAGTTGCAAAAACCCGCCCAACTCCGCGTTTGAATGAAAGGATTCTTTCATCTATGTCAAAGAGATCAGTTGCTGCACACCCTTGGCATGATCTTGAAATTGGTATTGTAGCTAAATTATTACATTCAATTAACCTAATTAAGTTCATTGATATTCAATTCAAAGTTAGATTAATAATGAATCTACTAATGATCTTAATTTTCATGTGCAGGACCTGGAGCACCTCATATTTTCAATTGTGTAAGTTCACAACTTTGATCTGCATTTCTCTTTTTAATATAGGAATGGCAAAGCAGCATGACCGCAGACATGTTTGTTTTGTCTATTTTTTTTTTTAAAGTAGATTAAAGTTTTAGGCCTGTATCTTATAACTTATAATATGTCTGTCTGTTCTATTCCGTTCCATTTTGTTGTTGATTTTTGTGGACGTAGACATTAACATGAATTTTTAGAATTTTTAGTCTCTTTAGAGGTATACTGTCCGCGGACCCGCCTGCAATGCTGTTATTTTTTTTGGAGCAGACTAAAATTTCAAGTCCACACCCTCCTGTTTTTTTACAGACTTTTACGGGACGGATCTAAATGGGGGAGACATGTCTGTTTACCATATCTTACTTTAATACTCAATCTAAGAAATTTTACCGAATTCAAACTGTCTGTATAAACAACCATCCGCATTCATATAGTCGGCATGTTAGCAATTGTTAGACTGAGTTCTGACAGTCAAGATTTCAAGTTCAGTGTTTTAGTTTCACTGCATTATGTTGTTAATTTCTTGCAGGTTGTAGAGATCACTAAAGGAAGTAAGGTCAAATATGAACTTGACAAAAAAACCGGATTAATTAAGGTATGAACTGATTGAATTCATTTTGAAATTTGAAATGAACAAAACATCAACTTGGAATTTATAACTTTAATTCATCAAACTACTCAGGTCGATCGGATTCTGTATTCGTCCGTTGTTTATCCTCATAACTACGGATTCATCCCTCGAACTCTATGCGAAGACAACGATCCACTCGATGTCTTGGTTCTCATGCAGGTAAATTACTAACTTTTCAAACTCATCTAACTCACACAAGAATCATTTATAGCAAACCATTCATCACTGAAGTTTTTGAATTACTATATGTCACAGGAGCCTGTTCTTCCTGGTTGTTTCCTGCGAGCTAGGGCCATCGGACTAATGCCAATGATCGATCAGGTAATAATTTCTTCGGCTTAACCGATCACGATTTTTTTCCTCAAGTTTGCATAACAAACAAGTTTATCATGCTCACACAGGGAGAGAAGGATGACAAAATCATCGCGGTATGCGCTGATGATCCCGAGTATAAGCACTATTCTGACTACAAAGAACTTCAGCCTCATCGCCTAATGGAGATTCGTCGCTTCTTTGAAGATTGTATCCTTTATAACCCCATTTCAACAAAAAAAATGTTTACATAACATCTTTTGCTTTACTTTAAGTTACTAAATTTTCATGCAATTTTCTATATGAAACGCGAACATGCATTAAGTATCTTTGAAATCTTTAAAAAAAAATTGTGTTTCTTTAAGAAATTGTTCAGATAAGAAGAATGAGAACAAGGAGGTAGCAGTTAATGAGTTCTTGCCACCATCCACTGCTGTTGAAGCCATCCAACACTCAATGTAATGGATCTAATAAAAATTGGTTTTTAGATATTTTATGAATTAATGTGACTCAAATATTGAACAATATATATAATATTGAAAATATGATTTGATGTAGGGATCTCTATGCTGAGTATATTATGCATACATTGAGGAGATAGAGAAGAAGAATGTTCATGAATCTGAATAAGCCTGCAACATTCTAAAACAGTTTTTGATAATCTTTTTTTTTTTTTTTTTTTTTTTTTTTTTGAGTATATTATACTATGACATTTGTATTTTTATGTGGAGAACAAGGATAAGTTGGATTGAATTTTTTTCCCCTTACTTTAATGATTTGTTAGCCTAAATTTTGAGGCATTAAAATGTGGTATGTAACTATGACAAGTAATTTTCATTTTTCTGTATGTCTCTACTAGAGTATGTATGATCTCCATTTCTTTTCAATTATAGTTGAGTGCATAAATGATATAAAATCATATTATCAAAATTAGTGAGAAAATAACAATTATTAAACAAGTATTTTTTAAATATATAAGAATATAAGGTAAACTATAACTTAAAAAAAAAATTTTTTCCTTTCAAACGGAGCCTACTTGTCCGAAATTTTACTTAAAAACTATGAAATCCTAAGTTTGAGCAGCTTCTTGGAATAATATAGTATTAATTATTAAATAAATTCGAAATTCTGATCTGCACGACTTGATTTTAGCCTTGTACTCTAATGGGCCTAAAGAAAGTCAAGGTTTTACAATAGAAACTAGAAAGTACTATGTAGGAAGTATTTTATACACCCCATATAAGTGTTTCTCTATTATGGTGAAAAATCACAACTGATCATAAAATTCGGAGATGTATTTTCTAACCCATCATTTTCACGCCCTCTTCATTGTAAATGGGTGAGTCATCCTTATTTTATAAAAAATTAGTTAGGAAATACATCTTCGTATGAGTATTTGGGCGAGTCTGGTGATGCATTTCTGTAACAATCCTTAATTCAAAACTCATTGAGTTTTAGAAAGTTGTATCTCCAAACGCGTTTAGTTCATAAACCTGTGACAGACCTTTCCCCATTCTTACTTCATCTGCTACAAACTCACTAAAACCCCATTTGAGCTCGTGAGCAAGTTTTTCAAGTTCATTTTTCAAAGTTCAACACTACTTATGCTTCACTACTACATTCAATCTAAGGTCATTGCACTCAATTATTATATTATAGCGGCGGAAATAAATAATAATAACATAGCTTTAATTATCTCATAAATAAAAATCAACTTCATTTCAAATCATAAAAGAAATAGTTCAATAACTCTCAGAACATAAAACAGAAAGATAATCAGTCCCAGTGTTACAATATCAGAGCAACACGCAGAAACTAAAATAAACTTAAAAGCGATAAATGACGAAGAAGGCCACTACGCCATCCTCCAAAACACAACAGTAACTAAAGTTCCTCTACCTACATATCTACACCACAGTAGAACAACATAGAATAACAAATAGGGGTGAGAATACATTTATATATGTTAGTGGTACATAAAATAGTAAGGATAGTGCAGTTAATATCAACAATTTCTACACCACAGTCGTAAGGATAGTATGAACATCGCCAATGCAAGGCCACAACAATGGTTCCTCTTTGAACCAAACATCTCAGCATCACTCAACAATTTCATCATAACATAACATTATTACTTAAATTACATAATTTCTCGACAATACTCATCAATCAGCATCACACATCATCGAACAAATATCAACAACGAAATCTACTCGAGAAGTCGAGTCAATGACCCAAATCGGTCAACATAGGGGCCGACGGTCAATCGCTTAATGTTAAGGTGAGATCGCTTGTCGTAACACGCTGACGGTTAAATCGTCAGACTGTTAATGCCCGTCAGATTGACCCAAAGGGTTGTCTTCCCCATTGTGACGACGGTCTGATTGTAAAAAAGGATGACGCCCATCATCGCTGCAAAAATAAGACTTTATACATTTTTCTCCCAAAGCACAAAATATAATTTTTCTCCATTATTTTAAATAAATAAAATTATAATAATTACTACACACACTCATAAAAATAATTAAAACAATTAAATAACTCAAAAACAACCCAAAACTCAATTAAAATAAAATAAACAAGAAAATCTAGGTATTACAGAACCTATAACTGATGCGGATGCCCCATTACTTAGTTATCCAGGAGGCCCATATGAAAATTCCTTACTTCATCTCTATGAAAACCATGATGCTAGACATGTATGGGAAGGAGATGTATATTTCTTTATTTTTGTGTTACATCTATTTTATAACAATTTAACCGTGACTGATGGTGACATATTTATTTTTACAAAAGCTTCCATGTTTAAAATCTGTAAACCACAGAAGGAAGATTTTGAAACCAGAACAACCTAAAGATGATTGGTTCAAGAATTTTCTCCGCTACTTTGTGCTTTCCGGTTTATGTGTTGTCGGGTACATGAATATAAACCATGGCATGCAGGTGGCATTTACAAATGGATGACATTCAGAGACGTTAACCTTCTACCTTCCTGTTGGTAAGATGTCCATCATCCTAGATGACGTCTCATGTGTCCTATATCTTCCCATCAGGGGAAATTTACTGAACCACTCCAAGATCGATTTAAAAAGCCATCAACATTATGGTTATCTATTTGGGAGCTGACCCAACTGATGCTCAAAATGAGGTAGTTAACATTAGTGGTGCTCAGGCTAGATTTAAATTCTTCTGAGACCTTTATAAAGATAATCTATAGATGATTGTGGATGCCAACGATGATGATATGTAGGCTGAGTGCCATCATCAATATGCATTGAGATGTTACCTCTTTATCCTAGTTGGCACGTCCATGTTTGTGGATGAAAGTGTATCCTACGTCAATGTGGTCTACTTAAATACTTCATCGATTTACTAACGATTCAAGAGTACAATTGGGTTTTTGCCTCTTTGGTATACCTATACTTGAAGTTGGACGAAGCTTGTCTTTGAAAAACAAAATAGTTTACAGGAAGTTGCACACTATTGACGATTATTTACTGTTACTAATATTTTTATAACTCTTTTGTTACACGTGTTACTAATATTTAAAACTGAACCATTTTTCAGGGATGAATCATCTCTCACTTTCCTCATATTTCCTCATGGAAACCTGAGCAGGACTGTACTAAGGATTGTCTACGTGCTTGCACCTTTTCCCCATATAGAGAGAATCAGATGATCGAGCCCTTCTGGGTGTATCTTGACTGTCATGTAGCAGATGAAATTGCCTTCTACCCGTACAATGGTCAATGTCAAACGTATCAGCTGAACATCATTTTGTTATACCCCAAATGGTTGACTTGTGGGTCAGGTCTAACATATGTGTATTTTCCCAAGCTAGTGATGTGTCAATTTGTATAATTGTAGGTTATTCCGAGACACCCCTTAGAGTTTGTTCCTCCAACCATCTAGCGTAGAGATGTTGATGTCATGCTTGAGGATCTCAATTGTCATATGGTACCAGAGGACTATTGTAGGATGTCAACTCCTGTACAATGGGCTTATGCAAACGATTATATCGCATGGTTCTATAGGGCGTTACATCCTTTCATGACACTAAACGCTTATAAAAGATCACCTAGGCCATCTAATAAAGAGATATTGGAGGGTAGGGATGACCACACCCAGAACATGTTGTAGGTCTGTCAACATATTATAAATATGGCAAGATCGGGCGTAGAAGTTATACTTTTTGAGGAAGGCAGCCCCCAATTGACCCTCGTAGAAGACATTATTTTACATGCACATAATGCCTTGTAGTACAGGTAGAGGAGAAACGGGGGGGGGGGGGGGGGGGGGGGGTTAGACATACCCAATAGTTTATTTTTGTTTGTATTATTTTTTGTATTTTCTGAACAAATTATGTATGGCCGGTACATTTTGAATTTAATTTAATTAATACATGAGTTTTTTTTAATGTATGTATAGTATGTTTGAATCAATTCATGACACTCTTAAACGGTTTTATGATAAAAATTGGTCTAAGATGACCTAAAATATAATTTGGCTTAAAAAATGTCAAAGTTAGGACAACGTTGCTACCTAAAATGCATTCATGGGGGTTGTCGAAGATGCACGCATCTCTGAAATATCCCTTTCATGTGAAATAAACACACTTTCAATAGCTTAAAATGAACTCATGAGAGTTTACGAAGATGCATCTTCGGATTCACCCTAAAAAATTTACGGATATGCATTTTCAGATCAAATTTTGGCAAAAAACAGATGTCTGGTTAAATTGGTATGATTTTAAGTGTGTCCAAAGATGTATCTCTGAACACCAATAATTATATTTTTAAGTTTTCAGAGATGTGGGGATATTACGGGTTATGCAACATGTGATAATAAGCCCAATAAGGTTGTGATGTATTATTTGAATCAGAATGCAATACAAAGGAATGCCAATATATATACACAAGTAATAAGCCTGACTAACAATAACCTAAAGCCCAAACCAAGAGGAATCTAGAAAAGGAAAGGGTAACAATAATGTGCTAAAAGAGGAAAAAAGCAGTTAGTCTTCCAATACCCCCCCCCCCCCCCCCCCCCCCCCCCCCACCACCATAAGCTTAGGGGTATATAGAAAAGAAAAGGGTTATTCGTTCTTTTTTCCTTCCTTTGGATAAATTAAAGGTTGGTGGTGAATTAAGATTTGTGATTCAAGTTAATTAATAGCTTGATATCCGATTCTCACCACGACAATTATTATTCTTTTAATACTTTTTTATCGTCAAAATCAAAAGAGAATATGTCATGAACAAATCTTGTTCTAACAAGGCCTAATGGTGAAATAGTGAGTCATTAAATTCAAAATAGGTAGAACCTTTCTTTTCACTGAGCAGACAATCCTTCAAGTGAATGTCATGTTAACAATCTAGATTAATCCAACGTCTGACTTCATCCCACGCTATTCCACACGTGTGCATATACCAACCATTTCTCCTATTTAAAGAGAAAAGTGTCTCACTTCACAAGTATTCAAATCTTTTCTCATTCAAAATCTACTTTTCACTCTCATATTGACTTGATCGTTGGGGTGATAACCATAGGAGGAATAGGTAACCATATACTCCTCCAGAAATTTTCCATCTTCGGAAGAGCGAATAATATGAGGAAGACATTTTTTCCCAGACACGGAAGAAAAGTCTCATATCCGCTTGCATTCTGGATAACAAAATTTCAAGATCATTGGAGAAGTTGACGAACCTCTAGAGTTACAACAAGATCAAGGATCCAAATGAACATGTTGAGCATGTAGATGGTCGTCAGGACTACTATCATTTTGTCAGGGTCGTGAAGTGAAAGCTCTTTGCAATAGCCCTGACTAGATCAGTTGCGACGTGATACAAGTCCTTCGAAATAGAAGTATAGACTCTTGGACCGACATGTGCGAAGCTTTTACTGTCCACTTCACCACTAAGAAAAGGCACCCGACTACCATAGTCATCCTGAGTGGAATCACGCAAGGTAAGAAAGAAACTCTGTGTGAATATATCGATTGCTTCACCAAAGTGGCTGTGAATGTTAGAAGCTCACATGAAAGTGTGAAATGTTGTATCTTTGAAAGAGACCTAAGGTTGGACAGTACTTTTTGAGAAAAATTAGGGTGCAAAAAGGTCCATAATCAAAATGACTTGTTGAGTAGAGTGAACTCCTACATCAACTACGAAGAAATTTTTTTTATCGTTGGAATTAGTCGAGGACTGAAAACTGCAAGATCTAATCAACTATCATATAAAGACGTTGAATGGTCTAAAAAAGAATATGAGCGTTTAGAAAAAAACTATCTTTAATAGTAATTTATTTAAAAGCGTGTAAAAAAAATGCTTTCAAAGTATTAATTTATGATAGTAAAGTTAAAACGTGGATTATATTTAAGAATCCATTTTTTTTTTCTCAATTGTTGTTTTATAATTAAGGACGAAAGGATTAATAGAAGTTAAATATCGGACACAAGATGCTCCCAAATTATACGCCACTATACAAACATCTAAATCTATATATATTTGATAAAGACAGTACTGTACAAAGTGATGAAAAGGAATCAAAATCACAAGAAACCTTGCATGAAAGAATAAAATCTATATAAAAAAATTCCCCAAGATTAATAAGGAAGCAGTGTGGAAGATGCAATTGAACTAATGCATATGGTGCTACAGAAACCTGCAGCTAAATGAGGGACCCTTTAGTTCTTTGTTTTTAATTGGGAGGGAACTTTGCGTCAAGGAACTATAAACCTTTAATTTGATGGTTATTGGAAAGATTCCAAATGTGAATAGAAATTCACATGGCAAATGTCATGAAAGTGGAACACAAAGAGTGATAAAAAAGAAGAGAAAAAGAAATTGAAGTATTATAGTGAGAGGGACATAGATCCTTTTATTATTGAAAATGCTTGGATATCTATGGTGGAAATTTATAGATTAAGTATTTTAGTTTGAGATAAATCTCAGAAAAAATAACTTTTGAGAGAGTAAAATTTATATATATATATATATATATATATATATATATATATATATATATATATATATATATATATATATATATATATATATATATATATATATATATATATATATATATATATATATATATAGGCATAAAATCGGAATAAAGTGTTAGAACATCAGGTGGTCGGCGTTTTGCCCTGCCCTCATCTGCACACATCAGGCAGAGTCACAGTTTCCTCACCTAATCTTTACGTACCTTCTCTTTATGCTTCAATATCATCCACACACCTAACCAAATCAATGTTGGAGAATTCACATTAACACTTATTCCTAAATTCCTAACTTTCACCCACCACCATTCTTTTTTTTTTTAAATAATTTATTTCACCCTTATGTGTTTACTTCATCATACCACTATGTTTTTTTGTCACGTGCTACAATTGAGAAGCTTTATAGTGATCATCAATTATAGTTATTGACGTGGATGTGTTTTTGCAGTTTTAGCATATGATTGTTTGCTAACTAAAATTTGCATATGAAAAATGTTTGCTATAAAAGTCTTAATATCGACGACTTTCCGTTTTCATGTCATATTCCAACGTAACGATACCTTTAATTAGTAGGGAATATGATTGAGACTTTAGGTCGAATTTTTTCGTGGATGGTAAGATTTGCAAGTTTTAGATAGATACCATACGACATCTTACCCAGTTTTAGATAGACACCATACGAAATTAAATGTCTCTCACCTAGTGGGAATTATAAAGGATTGGCAAATATTAAATCTAGAATGGATATGTTTGCAAGACAATCCTATTAGATAAAATTCTAAAACAAAAAATGTTAGAAAGCATTCATGTTCCATTTCGTCGGAGGTTCGGTATATTCTCAATCTAACCCTTCAATTTTCTATTTAACTAATACATAAATAAGATTTTACTATAAAAACACGCGTTAAACAAATTTTACCCTAATCATTATTAATATGAAGCTGCCTCAAACATCATCTTTGGGATGAATTGCAAGACAGAAAAAAATCTTCAATGTTCTTCAATCTTGAATAAAATATTTTTTCAGCCCTTGTAATATATCTCACATAATGGTGTTAATGTTGTCGTTGTTGTATTTTTTAGAATAACCCTCAATTAAAGAAGGGTACTCAGTTGATAGATTGCAAGTGCAGAAAATCATTATCCCTTCAAGTTAAAAAAATGGAGCTTAACCAACAATGATCGGAGCTCAAACTTTGAAAAGAGCTCGGATGATTGATTGCAAGTGCATAAAATCATTCTTGTTTAAAAAAAATGTTTTAATGGGTATGAAACAAAATTTGGATATCATAGAAGATTTGTTCTAAACAATGTTTCTTAATATTCTGTGTAAATAATGTATTTTCAAATGCAGATCTCTGGTATGAATTGCAAGTGCATACAATTATAATGTATTTTATAATTTATTTTTAATATTCTGTGTAAATAATGTATTTAAAAAAACAACTTATTCACCTCGGTTTTCTTCTTGACCGAAGGGAGTTAAACATTTTTTTTACTATATTCAACGCCCTTAAACAAATCTTTGTCGTGCATTTAATATTCATCAACGCTCAAGAATCTGTCATTAGTGATCCGCGTGAAACCTAAAGGACACCCATTATAAAAGCATGCTAAATATTGAAAATCTAACCTATATGTATCATGAAGCGCTTGAAACATAAAAACATTTGGAAAAGTTCTCTAAGATGAATTGTAAGAGCAGAAAATTACTTGGGTTTAAAGTTTGTTTTATTAAATATTTATTTGAGTACAAAATCATATATTTGAATATTGATTTTATTTATCTAATCCTTATTTTGTTTTGCTTCAGAATCAAATGCATACGAGATTCGAAGAGAGTAACCTTGCACCCAACATTTGATCGTCATCAAGATTCAATAATTCGAAGATTTCATCTGTGACGGTGATATCCAACCGTCGTGCTCCAAAATTTCATCTTCCCGCAAAAACTGAAAATTCTTTCCACGTATTTTTCACTTCTTTTAAAGAATTTGCCGCTCACGTCCTTGGAGAAAGAGGGAAACTGACATTTTTCTCAACCTGACGCTGTCATTGCAAATCACTGAATCACCGTCAAAGCAACCACCATCAATTCGAATCTTTACAGGTTTGTATTCTCAAACCCTGAATCGGATCCTGGTTTGGATTTTACTCTGAATTTTGTTTTTAATTGGTTTGGATTTTAAGCATTATGTGTTAGATTTCTCTGTTTGAGAGTTAAATTTGTGTAAGAAAAATGGATTATTTATTTGTGTGGACGTGTCAGATCGAGTTTCTTGATGCTGAACGGTTGCGGTAGCAAATTCTGGTATAGGACCTTTATTTGAAATCTTGTGTGCTGTTAATTTAATGGTTTTGTCCTGAGTTGATGTCAGGCTCGATTTTGTTTTCGGTGATCATGTCTAGCTGCGGCGGTTGCTTTCTCTATTGTGCTTGTTGTTTGATTGAGTCCTTTGCTTGTTTAGGAGTTTAAACTATATTTTTGATACATTGTTTATAATTCAGAACAGGCTTTTCGCTAGAAGAACAAGTAGCAATTGATAAATGTTGTACATTCCGCGGAAGCTTTGCAAAACTTGATGCTAAAACCGGTGCTATCTTATGGCAAACCTATATGTTGCCATATAACAAAGGAAAAAGAGATCAATATGCAGGAGCCGCGATTTGGGGAAGTTGTCCTTCCATTGATGTTTATCGAAAACATGTTTATATTGCCACCGGAAATCTCTATTCAGCCCCACAAAACATACTTGATTGTCAAGAAAGACAAAATAATCAAACGAATCCTGTTGAAACAGACGAGTGTATTGAACCAGAAAACCACTCAAATTCGATGATGGCCCTTGATTTGGACTCTGGAAAAATCAAATGGTTCAAACAATTAGGAGGCTTGGATGTATGGTTTATAGCATGTAATAACGCTTCAACTCCTAACTGTCCGCCTCAAGGTCCATTACCAGATTCAGATTTTGGAGAGGCGCCAATGATGTTAACTACATATGTAAACGGAACAAAGAAAGATATCGTTGTTGCTGTTCAGAAAAGTGGATTTGCATGGGCATTGGATCGCGATAACGGAACCCTTATATGGTTTAAGGTAACATACACTCTATTATAGTCTAAAATTATAACTTTCAACAATAATATTAAACATGAATTAGAAAATTGCAGCAAGCGGGGGCTAGTGGAACGGGCGGAGGTGGAATATGGGGTGCATCAACTGATGAAAAAAGAGTTTATACCAACAGTGCAAATTCAAATAAGGATAATTTCCAAGTTTTACCGTCTAATATGAATACAACCACTGGAGGATGGGTCGCAATGGATCCTAGAAACAGAGAAATTCTTTGGTCCACTGCTAACCCTGGAAATAGTACTGTCAGCGGCCCTGTTAGCGTAGCAAATGAAGTTCTTTTTGGTGGATCCACCGCCGACTCTGGCCACTAGCTGGCAGATGCCCTCGCCGGACTGCCTCTCTGCAGCAGCGGCATTTTTCCCGATGAGTTCAATTAGCAGCTACAATTAACAACAGTAAATTAGCAGAGCTACAATTATGATATGCTACAATTGATACATTGCTTTAGTAAGCAACATCTTCATAATGTCTCTTTCCCACCCCTTTTTTTGATGTTTCATTGATGGGCCAAATACCTTCAGTGTTCCAGTCTGCTGCATCTCTCGCATAACCATTGTTATGTCCAAGAATTTGTTGTGGTCTCTACTTAGGTTATGTGCTAAGAGTTGTTGCAGAGTAGTTTAAACATGCTAGTTGGTGAGTTGCTGTTTAAAATAGGTTGTTAGGCTGCTGTCTAAGTTTGTTTTAAGTATAAATGGGTGTTTTGGTCTTTGTGAAGGCACTGTGGTTATGATTCATCATAAATGCTATTGACCATCTAACCTTTAACACATTTAGAATTGTACCATTCCAGTTGTAGTTAGCCAAGCTAACATAAGGTCACGAGGAGTCAGCTGCCAACCTAGCGTATCCTGCACTGGAATTTCAAGGCATTCAAACTAGGCTATTATGTCACAGCAACTGGGCCAAGTGAGCTAATCCAAATTCAATAACATTTCAAGTTAGCAACTAGCAGTTAACAACATATCCCTAACACATCCTCATATTTCAAATAGCTGACCTTTTACTAACAGTAGCATAAATTCCATTTACCAACCTTTCAATTGCAAATCAATTCTCCATCTAACCTCATTCATATAAACAAAGACATCATCTCCATTATAAATAACGTAGTCTGATTCAAATGATGGGATCCATCATAAATTATTAGTTTCCACTGCATGGAGAATTAATAGATGAATTTTAGTTTGAATTGGATGCTAGGATTTGGTTGTTAGTTCATCCATCTCAACAATCTTAGCTGATTATAATTAATGGTCATTTCATTTGTTTAAAGGCTTCAATTTTAGAGAAGAGTGACCTTCTATTTTTTATATTAGCTATTAACTGTATTATGTTGTTCCCTTAATTCCTCACATCTTCTCTTTTCATAGCATTCACTCTGATTTTTTAAAACATCTTTTACAGGAGATACATTGCAATGGTAGAGATGTGTCGAGTTGTTTCTTACACGGACCATCTAATTGTTTTATTGCAGCCGCTTAACAACTTCTGCCAAAGAGATTGCAATCCAGAAGATTATTTAGTATATTTGAAGCATTCTTATAGATTCAATTAATTTCCTGGATTAACTCCATGTAAGTTGTAATTGTCTTACAGATTTGAGTTCAATGAGTAAACTACAACATAACACTTGCAGTGCATATGCAAGTGGTTTTTTGTAGGGTATTAGTGATGGCATCTTTGATTTTTACAGTGATTTGGCGTGCCATATTGATGGTTTTATTGCTGTTGTGGCTCACACACATGTTCTTTAAGAGGGGCCTGTTACAGGACGTGCAGCTGATGTAATTGCTGCAGCAAATACTGCTGCTGAAGTAGCATTGAGGCTTGTTAGGCCTGGAAAGAAGGTAATATAATGTGTAAGAATTTTCATATATTGTTGCACCTGTTATATCTGAGGTCATTTTGATCTGATTACTTTATATTTAATCTCTTATAGCTTTGAGTTGATTCTAATTTCATGGGTTGTTATTATCTTTTGATTTGGGTACTTCAAGTTTTAGAGTCTAAGTTTTCATGTCATTGTCCATATTTAATGAAATGATGTGAACTACTTTGTGATTAACGTTGTGACAAAATCTCTAGCTATAATGGTTAAATCAGTAAGGGTATCATTCTTTGGTGTGATTGTCCTCAAAAATGTCTTTTGGTAGTTCTTAGAAAGCTCATCATACTCAGGTGATCCTTTCTCAGGCATAAATCTTCTACTTTTAGTAGGTCGGTTAAGGATGTATCCTCCATACGGATATTGTCCAAAATTAACAGTTGCATGAAGTGCTGAAGCTATCCATATGAGAATGGTGCAAGCTTCAATCAACTCTACATGACTTTGCATCTTAAACCACCATGTTGCATTCTTCAAATCACCATGGCCTACTTCTACAAGTTCTTTCCAGAATGCCTGGAGTTCAGAATCTTGAACAATAGTTGCATCTGATTTGTAATAGAAATTCACATATTCTTCAACCCATGACTTAATAGCAGCCCATATTTCTAGTCCATCAACAGCATAAGGGTAATCCTCTATCAGAAGGCGAAGACCGTGCAGAGAAGTTGGATCCTCAACCGCCATTCCTCTAGATAACAAGTAAGGAAGATATCATTAACATCAAAATAAAAAATAGTTGAGATTGTGACTAATATATTTTTAACTAATTATTGTTTTGTAGGGTTAACTTTTGAGTAAATCTTGAGGCAGTCCTTGTTCTGTGAAAACCCAATCCTTGTATACTATGGAAAACAATCCTTGTATACTACTTGAATTGCGCATAGAATTATTCATTTTTGGCACAATGATACTTATTGTTATAAGATTATGATTTGATATGTTTTCAGATTTTTGTATTACATGACATGATTATGGAACTTTCATTTTACATGATTATGAAACTCACGTTTTTTCGATATTATAATGTTTATTTGATATTAAGTTTTGGAATTAATTTTACTACGCTAAAAAGCGATAGAAAAAAATTATAAAAAAAACTATAAATAAAAATATTATTGTATAAATAATTTAAAGAAAAAATAATATAACTATTTTAGTAGATAATAATTTAAATAAAAGAATATATTATAAAACAATATATAAAAATTAATAATGAACCGTCAAGATATCACATTCACGACAGTTTTAAACCGTCGCAATCAACAATGGTAACAAAAGTCAAAAGGATATTCACGACAGTATTTAACTGTTGTCATTTCCAATTTATGTCAGTTCCAACCAGTCGTGAAATAGAGTTCACGATAGTTTTAAACCGTCACAATCAACAATGAAAATAAAAATCAAAAGGCTAGTAACGACGGTCTTTAACCGTCGCTATCTCCAGTTTAGGTCAATTCAAGCCCGTCGTGAAATATAACGACGATTGTGTGTGACGGTTTTTTCAACCGTCTCTAAACAGCCTGGGGACACACGTTTCTGCAACGGTACTACAACCGTCGTAGAATGTAATTGGTGGTGGTTTTAACCGTCGTAACTTGTCAAAATAATCGTCGCAATCCATTGTTTTTCTTGTAGTGAATCTAAATCTTCAGGGAATTTGTTTTTTACCCCGTTCTCTAGGAAATTTGATTTTTATTTTAAACAATGTAATATTCTGGGTAAACAATGTAACGATTTTTTTATAAATAAAAGAATAATCTAACCCCTCAATTTTCAAAAAAAATCGAGATGAAAGATACACTAGTTTTGAAAATAATATAAGTGTCGCTGATGGAGTTCAAACCCATGTGCATTTAACTTTACCTCTCTGTTTTAATTCCACTGAGGTGATAAGTGGCGAGTTTTCATGCCGTCCTTCATTACCTCGCTTCTATAGCTGAGGTAATATGCATTTCACGTCCGAGGTGAAAAAATGTTTTTTGTAGTAGTGAGAAAAGCAATAAAGAACACAATCAAATTGTTTACCCATTTCAATGAAACTACACCTACATCTGGGGGGATAAGTCCACAACTCAAGAAATAAAATTCACTATTAGTAGTTTATTACATTCAGACTTACAAGCAACAATAAACCCTATCTCATTTAATGCCTCTTCCTAACCCTACCCAATGACTTTCTATTTAGAGCCTCCTCCTAAATATGAGAACCTATCAACTTTCTTCTCTACCACAATCTTAGTGACAGGAAAAAACAACCACTAAACCTTAGGCATAAACATAATTGCTTTGAAATGTGCATGACACACTCAGAATCATAAAAGATTAGTAAGTAATAAATTTAGAATAAAAATACATGTTTGCAAGTGACGATTATGTTAGAAGAATTCATGAATCCACTAGAAAGAGAAAAGAAAACTCTTGAATTACTATGATCAAAGATAACTTTGACGACCATATCCAAAGTTGTTTAAATACACAAAAAGAAACTGTAATGAGTTTTTAATCCAAAATAGAAATAAAACCGAAAAAGAAATCGTAAAAGGCTTTTAATCCAAAGCAAAAATAAAATATAAAATTGCAAAAATCATTAAAATGTTGTTTTTGGCCTTTCTACATCAGTCACCTTCACCTCCCAAGAACTCGACCCCGAGTTCTCTTCTTGATAAAGAGTATCATCTGCTTGATACTCATGAATGCCAGTAAAATTGAAAGTATTTGATATATTCATAGAATCCGAGAGAGCTACCATATAAGCATTATCATTGATCTTTTGGGTGTATACTTATTTCTTTTTCCGAGTGCATACAATTGTAATATCTAGAAGTTGCATTTTATCTATTTTAATTAGTTGATCTGATAAACACCCATAGAGGTAGTTATTTTTGAAAACTCGGTGGCATTGAAAACCACCCCTGCACTATGATTGATATGCCATGTTAACCAATTTGAGCCTTAGGCTTTCCTTCGGTTACTTAGCCTATTATAAACCTTTGAAATGAAAGATAAAAATCTTTCCTCCCTCCTTAGAGTTAGGTAGATAGATTTTATTTTTAATATAAGCTAATCACTAAGTTAGGGGCTGCTCTTGGAAGTTAGAAAAATTTAGGTTTGAGGTTGGGGGTACTTGAGAATTTTGTCAAAGGAAAATAAAAAGAAAGAATAAAAAAGATGTAAAAAAACATGGCATTTTCAAAAACAATTGATGAAACGAAAAAAAAATCACAAATTTGAAAAATCTCTAGCACCTAATATGAAAGAAAGAGTGATATGAATGAGAAAAAATAAAAAATGATAAAGAGGTACCTAACTCCAAGGTTTAAGCCGATTATCCAAAAATTATCCTACCTTGACATAAGATATGATACAACCAAAAAAGACCTCAAATGTATGTGTTTAAATATATTTTGACTGATTTTGTAG